TGTAAACATGTTAATAGTATGCTTTGAATCGGTTTCTTTTTTTTTTCTTCATCTTCTCCATATAGGCAAAAACATTGAATGTTTGCTTAGATTATAATATTCTCCCTAAGCGATCATGATTATTAACAGGTAACATGCCAGATTTACTTTAACTATTTACTTTAAACGGTTACTGAGTTACAGATTTTTAAAGTTGGGTAAGACTTTTACAACGGGTTATAGTCCTGCTACCGTTGTGTACTAGTGGCAAGGCTCTCTTTGGTTCACTATATTGTGTAGCCATGTGCTATATCTTGTGGTAGCCTTGTGCTATATCTTGTGGTAGCCATGTGCTATATCTTGTGGTAGCCATGTGCTATATCTTGTGGTAGCCATGTGCTATATCTTGTGGTAGCCATGTGCTATATCTTGTGGAAGCCATGCGCTATATCTTCTGGTAACCATGTGCTATATAAGAAAGTATGTTGAAGTAGTTGCATACAGACATCCAAACCGTGCAACATGAAACAGTAAGAGAGACAGACAGATGATGCAGCAGACATCGAGACCGATATATATTCACATAGCAAGGCGGATATTTAGACAGTTATCGAGGCTGATATTTAGGCAGTTATCGAGGCTGATATTTAGGCAGATATCGAGTCTGATATTTAGGCAGATATCGAGGCAGAAATACAGATACAGTAGTCGGACATAGGCCTATGTGCAACTGCCATTTAAAAAAAAACCATACGAAATTGAACACAAAGAAGCACATGAAAATGCTGCAAAGCCGATAAACAGACATAAAGAAATATAACAGGATACGTATATATACTAACCGATAGCACTGTATTCATTACCTCAGAGAGCACACCTGTGTAAACAAACAGAAAAACACATATTTTTCAACCGATAGACAAATGTGAATATTTATATCTGTGTAAACTTCAAGGAATTACCATTTCACAGTTAATGGAGCTGAAACATCAGAACGTCACTGCGTTTGTCGGAGCTTGTGTTGACCCAGGCAGGATTCTTTTACTGTGGGAGTACTGCCCTAAAGGCAGCTTGCAGGTAGGTTGTCAGTGATTTCGAATGTCATATATCGTTCTTTTTTTTTCTGCCATTTATGCCCCCAACTGAGCATAGGCTCCCAGGTAATTCACAAGCCGTCCCATTATTTGCAAGCGTGTATTACATGTGCAAAATACAAGTTGAGGCATAAGAAAATGCTTGCGTAAGAGGACATAGATGACGATGGCAAAATGATGGCAAAGCAGTCATTCATCAAGGGCTTTTTCCAAAACGTCTCATCTCAGGCCTACCTTTGCTCATTTATGCAATTACTTATCAGTTAACAGTTTTTACAATGTGCAGTTTTGTTTAAAGTAAAACTACCTTCTATGTTAATGTTATGTTCATCTTAAATGTGTTTATATTCATACTGTACGGTGTATATGATTTTTCTCCAGCATTCAATGTAGACATTATAAATTGATTCTTAACATTTCCGCATTTTTTTTATTATCTATTTCTTTACCTACTTTTTCCGTAATAAATGTTTGAAACGTACGGAACAATACTTAAGAACTATTTAAGATATACTGGTCTGTGCTAAGAGGTAAGAAAATATGAATGAGGGCGGGCTTTGGTATAAAAGGAGTGCTTTTATTTTTATTTTATGGGTGGGTAGAAACTAAATACTTCTAGCACTTAGGCGCAAATGACTTTTTGTTATCCGATCTACCCTTCGGTCAGATAAGGCCGAATATTGTCTGTTCTACTACCAAAGTCACCAATGGTGCACTAAAGACATTATTTAATTTAGAGACGACACCTGTATAGTCGGCTTCACACAATATATCCTTCACTGTGTTGTACTTTATTTGCCTATCAGGATATTATCAGGAATCAGAACATCAAGTTAGACCAGTTGTTTCAATTCGCCCTATGCCAGGATGTAGCCAAGGTAAGATTTATCTCCCATGATGTTCATCTCGGCAGTTTATGAGTGCGGCTATCTTGTCTCTTGACTTTCCTAGTCAGGGTTGTGTTATATTTAGTGCACAATTGATAAAGACTTTGGTCGAGACGTTCATTGTACTAGCACGTGTTTTTATAGTCCTTTCTGTTCAACTTACCATTTGCTGTTTGTAATATGTTAATCAGAGTCGGCTTGTGCATGTCATTGTCCAACTGCAGCATGCCCCTATTTTCACTCGATAATATCAATTTTTTTTAAACGTATCCAGAAACCATGAGTTGTAAACCCTTTGGCTCGGTACTATGAATATAGCAACCCTTCGGCATTGATTCCATTATAGGTACCGTTAATCTGGGAGAAATGTGGCTTTTCTGCCTACCCCCGGGAGTGAACCCGGACCACAAGGAGTTCGTCACCCGGCCGCCGCGAAAGTCATGTTTAACCAACTTCGCTAGAGAGCCGGGCGATAATATCAATAACATTTTGTATTATTATTGTTCTTTCTTTATACTTATATATTATACGAGGTTGCTTCAAAAACTTCATGGAAATTGTGAATTTTGAAGAAATAAGTACTAACGCAATTATTTACAGCTCATTTCCTTCAAAACAGTTCCCTTTGACAATTAAACATTTTTAACAACATTCATCACTGGTGATAATGTCATCAGCGCCCCTAAATCGCTGCCAGGTGAAGAAGCGAGAACAAACTCAGTAAAATGCAAAAGACTAATTTCAAGGCGTTCCGCTTCGCTGCTTTGCTAAAAACAAATCATAACTTTCAACCAGCATCCCTGAAGGGGAAGCTTTGCACGTCACTAAAAGCGCTGAAAATGAAGCCTGCAGTGTTGACACGATCAAAGTAAACAGACTCAAATACTATCCCGACCGGAGACGAAATAGTCTACCGGCGAGCCAGTAGCGAATCGATGATAGGATGCGTGGGTGCCGTTTATTCTTTACGGGCTTCTTCAAGTTCTACATCCTTTGATCAGATCTAAACCTGGATGGCAAGCTAACTGGACCTGAAGAGTTTACACAGTGAAGCAAAGGAAACTCAGTGATAATGGTAGACGAATGGCAGACCTGAAGAGTTGACACCGTCAGGCAAAGGAATCCTAATGATAATGGCAGACGACCAGTTCAAGCCAAGATGCCCCGTTCAGTCTATAAGGAAGTTGTAATGAGGGCATCCATAATGCCCACGCCAGTGTCAGCTACAGTCATGTGTGGATAAGGATGATGTTGCTCATGGTGGACTTGACCCATATTTTTATAGACCAAGCAGCACTCGGTGGATAATGTGCTCAACAGCCGCCTTCAATTCGTGGAATATTACATAATGCCCATCTGAATGAAGTCAAGGTCAAGTTTTGATATTGCATTTTTTTTTTTTTTAACTAATCAAAGAAAGGTAACCACCTTTAACAATTTGTTTATTGCATTATGTCCCTTTACTTTAAAAAAAACGTTTTTCCAATGCCGTAAAGAATCAGGCGAAGACCGAGAGTAGTAGAAGTAGTAGATTTTACCCCACTAGGACATCGCACAAGCGATAAACACCTGATGATACAAAGTGCCACCATGTGGATGAGGATTACCTGTGGAGAGGTCCTGGAAAACGCGTTCAGGCTATATTGCGGCCCCTGGCAAGACCCAGAGTAGGGCTTCAAAATAAGGAAAAATTGCATTTCTCAAGGAGATAAATGGTTGAGACCGATACATAAGATGCTGGACAATGTGACACTGTTTCATGGACAATTATCTGTGACAGAACTTACAGAAAGTACTTTAGACCAATAGCTATGGATATAAATGACTACCAACTCTACACTCTTCAACAACTGGTTCGCGAATCGCTCGGCGGTAGACGGCTTCGTCGCCGGTCGGGACAGTATTTGGGTCTATTTCCTTTGATCACATCAACACTGCAGGAGTCCTTTTCATTGTTCTTAGTGGCGTGCAGTGCTAAACCATTTTGAATGGCGTACAGAACCTAATCACAGTTATAACCTAAAACTCCCCCTTCGGGGATGCTGGTTCAACGTTATAATTTTTTTCCGGCACAGTACCTACCTACCTACCTACCTACCTACCTACCTACCTACCTACCTACCTACCTACCTACCTACCGACCAACTCCACACGGCATGAACTATTATTTAACAAAAATAATAAAAGAACGGTTTTTTTCTTACAGACTAATAAACACTTAATGGGTGATGCGGCAAATATCAGGCAGTAGGCTTTACCTCTCGTGCCATTTTTGTGCACTTTTTTTCAACTAAATCTCCATGGAAACGCAAGTCAATAATAAACACTCCCTCAGACAGATGCACAAACATCGGAGAAAATACCCTAATAATTAGTCGACTTTTACTGTATGCTTTTTATGGTGCAGTGGATCTACTCCCCCCCCCCCCCCCCCTTTTTCCACTTCCTTAATAGAGCTTTAAACCCACACAGGAAGATAAGGCCTTGTATATTTTATACTCTAAAAATTTTTCACAGGGCCTGGAGTACATCCACAAGAGTTCTGTCAATTACCATGGCAACCTCAAGAGTTCCAACTGTGTCGTGGATAGCAGATGGACCTGCAAGCTCACAGATTTTGGGGTTCCCAAATTACGAGTGCCGGACAAGACATCCACACAGCTTGAAAACAGAAGTATGTGTCTATCATAGCTTCTCCCTCCCTCCCTCTTCCCTCTCTCTCTCTCCTTTTATATCTCCCTCTCTCTATCCCTCCCTCTCTATCCCTCCCTCTCTATCCCTCCTTCTCTCCGTCCCTCAATTCCTCCCTCCCTCAGTTCCTCCACCCTCTCTCTCTCTCTCTCTCTCTCTCTCTCTCTCTCTCTCTCTCTCTCTCTCTCTCTCTCGCTATCTTTCTCCCGTTCTCCTGTGTTCGCCATTAAAAGGGTGCTTGGTTGTTGTCTTTTACATCAAGACTGCAATATCTGCGCCTTTTGACCCAGCACAAATGATTTCAACAAATCCATAGTTAGTTACCTTTAATAACATGCTTGTTGTAAAGGTAGTGGGTTTGTCCTTTTTTTTTTCTCCTACCCAAAAGCGGCCCTGGTACTCAAACGTGAATCGATCATAATATAGTCTCATGTCTTTGTTCTGGGCTCGTCAGAACCTTTGTAAATACTGTTGGTTGGCTGGTCTGTTGGTTAACCTTTCTTTGTTAGTTAACTGGTAATATGCTTCATTAATTAGTGGTTTGATTATTTGGTAATTTGCTTAAATAATTGGTAATTGTTTTGACTTTTCTTCTTCTTCTTTACACCCTCTTTTACTGCAGTAATTAGTATATCAGGTTCTAGCACTGTTGCTCTGTAGTCTTTGATTGTTCTCCTAAGAGGTTAAAGAGCTTACTGAAGCATTCTCTCCATCTTTCAGCTATCTTTGGTAGGTCTATTAATGGCTTTCATGTTTTATCGTTAATTACTACTGTTGGGTTTTAGCTTTCATCTCATTCGCTTGATAAATTGGTAATTTGCTTGATTAATTTGTGCTTGGTGGGTTATTTAGCTGGTTCTTCTTGACTGGCTATTTATTTGGTAGGTTAGCTGTTTGTGTGTCAGTGTCGTTAATTATTTGATTATTCTCTTTGTTGGTCAGTATGCGATGAATTGTTAACCATATCTTTCTACTTCTTTCTATGAGTGCCATTCACAATACTTTCTGTTACTTGATTAATTCATAATATTTAACGGCCTCAAATGGTTCCCCCCTCTGTTTATTTATAGGAATGACGTATACACACCGGAACCTACCAACAAATACCTTTCTTAAATGTTTGTGTATTCCAGACAAAGCAATAAGGTCTTACTGTGTTCGTAAATTGTTGCTGTGATTGTTATTCGACATTTGCTTCGTTAAGATAAATTTCTGTAACCTATGGTGCCATTTCAATGGGTTGAAATGAATTCTGTCCGTATTCCATAGTCGTGGATTTCAAGCTGTACGATAGACATGGCCAATGAGACACCTTTTTTTGGAGGTGCCTTGTTGACCATGTATCTTAGTGCACTTGTATTCATGGCGAGGCGCAGACGCCGTCTGGAGGTGACAGGTTCAATTCCCGGCACGGTAACTATAGCTTTCGATTTGTATGTTGTCTAGTGTGTTCTTCTATCTTTTTACTTCTTTCTATGAGTGCCGTTCACAATACTTTCTGTTACTTGATTAAAAGATAACGCACTAGAACTGTGATTTTAAGTGACTTACGACTGGCAAATTTGTTGGTAAAATAGCAACTGGATTAAAAAAAAAAAAACATGTTTCGTCACATATTGGGCGAGGAGACCCCTCTCACATTCAGCACTGTCAACGACTCATTTTTCAAATCAGCCAGGTCGTCCTTGACGCCTAGCTGACGTATCGAAGACAGACTCCGTTCACCCCCAGCCCGCCACCTTTGAACATAGACAGATTCAGTTTTAGACTAAGAATGAGCATACTGGAGTCGAGATGCAGATAAAAGACGGTAGAGCAAACATGATATTCGAACTGAAGTCTGCACATGTGTTTAATAAATTGAACGTTTGCACTTTCTGTTCTTAGATTTATGGACAGCCCCGGAGGTAATTAGGGCTGAAAAAGATGTGGACACACAGAAGGCAGACATTTTCTCCTTGGGAATTCTCTTGAAAGAAGTGTTCACGCGATCGACACCCTACTCTGAGTATGCTGCAATGACTGTTGAAGGTACTTGAATGTGTTGTAATTATTGTTCATTCTTTACTTTTGAGATCATCTTCATCACACATTGGACATGGCCGTAAGTGCTTCGATCGCCTCCTGAGTATTTATTTCTCCAAGGGTTAACAGACTAACAACTCCAATTCTACGGTCGGCTCCCGCGTGGTTTTCCTGTCTCGCCACTTCAATTGGTACAGTCTATTCAGTGAAAAAACATTTTCCACGAAACTGAAAGCCTCGCAGCGTGTGATCTCTCTTATGCCATTGATGATGTTTGTTGTAACTATGTACTACATACAAAACAAACAATGGATGGGTAGTAATTACAGGTGTATTTCCATTGACTTTGTCACAGTGTTTCCAGCCTTGTCGATATATAATCTTTTTCTTTTTTTTTTCTTTTTTATTTGATTGTCAGCCTGGTTGTTGTCCTATATGTCTACTACAATTTAGGCAGATTACCTACTGGGGTTGCTATAATCAAAGTGGCTGCGTCTTTGTGTATAATCAGCTTCTACTTCAGTATGAATGTAAATTTGGACAATCATTGTTTGCCATCTTTAGCGATCCGATGAATCTTTGAAAGGTGCATGTTTTACCATTTAATCAAACTGCATTTTTGGTGGCCACTTGATTTTGGCGTCTCTAGCAACTGCCATGTGCATTTACTGCGTGCTTATATTTCTGGAGTGTGCCGGGACTAATTGTTTATTCACCAGTTTTTCAAATTGGACAATTGGACATTTCATTTGATTTTCACAGGCACAGAAACGGATCAAGTGGGGGGGGGGATAGGGGGGGGCGGGGGGGGGGGGAGGTGACACTATAAGAGTGAAGTTCAAGCCTCGACTACGATAAGTCATTATTTTAGGTTCATTTGTTTCTCGTCTACTTCCCCAGGTACTAATTTATCAAGTTCACATTCATCATCATCATCATCAGATGCCTTGCCGACTGGCGTGGGCGATCATGCCTCTCCATAATCTGCGATCTCCTGCAGCATGTATCAGTTCGTGTGCCGACACACCTCCATGCCATGCAACAAGACTGTCAAGCATCTTGTCTCGTTGTCATCCTCTATCTCTCTCTCCACATATCTTTTCAGTGGTCACAACATGTTCTATTTTCCCTCTTCTCATAACATGGCCGAAAAATGATGACTGTCTCATTCTGATGTCTGTGATAAGTTGTCTACGGGCTCCCGCCTCTTTCAAAACCTCTTGGTTGCTCTTCTTCTTCTTCTGTTTCTTCTTCTTCTTCTTTTGGTTCTTCTTTTGCTTCTTCTTCCTCATCTTCTTCCTCTTCTTCTTCTTCTTCCTCTTCTTCTTCTTCTTCTTCTTTTCTTCTTCTTCTTCTTCTTCTTCTTATTCGTCTTCTTCTTTCCTTCTTCTTCTTCTTCTTCTTTCCTTCTTCTTCTTCTTCTTCTTCTTCTTCTTTTTCTTCTTCTTCTTTATTTTCTTCTTCTTCTTTTTCTTCTTCTTCTTTTTCTTCTTTTTCTTCTGCTTCTTCTTCCTTTTCTTCTTCTTTTTTGTTTACTATTAAAAAGCTGTTGTGATAACGTTTGCAACAATTCTGGGATATCTGTACAGCCTAACACAACCCATTCAGCAAACTACTAATTAGTCCCGTTATATGACATTTTTGCCAGCAGGCACTGGGTCTGTTCAACGGGAATGCCCCATACATAAATAATATGATGTTGTAATGAATCGTTTTCTCATGAACCTAACTTCAATGTGATAATGCATATATACTGACTTTTACTAGCAGTCTGTCGAGTCATTTGATGTAAAATTGTTCTTCTTTCAAGCTATCGTGATATTTCACTGCACATATACAATAATGCCTCTACTGATCTCTCTGAATTGCCTTCTATTTTCAGTTAGTGACTCTAAGTGCTTGTATGTCTAAATCAAAATAAAAAAAATATTTTAAACATTTAAACGACAATTTTCCACGCCCTTACGCATTTTAGGCAAATAGGGCTAGACCTGTAATTTATTGACCAATCGGCATTGAATGGGTGATGTGGTCAATATCCTGCCGAAATTGTAGATCTGCTAGTATATTGTCTCTCTGTTTATTTCTTGGTCTGCCTTGTGCCCGCTTCCATTCATCTCTTTTGTGCACTTATTTTGTGCCTGTCATTTATCAGCTATTCTCTCCTTAGGCCCCGTCAAGTGCAGCCTATAAGCCTTTACAGTATCTGTTGTTAATAGCAATTTAAGCCCGCCTCGTTAGCATAGCTGGTTAAACCCGAATTAGCGGTGACCAGGTGACGAACTCCTTGTGGTCCGGATACACGCCCGGGAGTAGGCAGAATAGCCACATTTCTCCCAGTATTTCTTAATTAAGGAATCAAGGCCGAAGGGTTGCGATATCCATAGTACTGAGCCAAAGAGTTAACAACTCATGGCTTCTGGATATTAAAAAAAAAAAAATTTAAACCGTTTTTTTTTTTTTTTGGTGTGTCGCCGTCGTGGTTGTTGTTGTTGTTGTTGTTGTTGTTGTTGTTGGTGCGTTTAATGCACATAACCTAATGTACACGTCCATCTCGATTAGAAATTATACGATGTCTGATGACACCGGACATGTCCAGTGTCCCATTGCGTCCGCTGCTCAACAACGACATCAAGAACAACTTGGAACTGCATCAGCTGATCACCGACTGCTGGGCTGAAGATCCAGATGTTAGACCATCTGCTACCCGAGTGCTCAAAACCCTCAACCGGCTCAACCCATCCAAGTAAGCTTATGTATGGCAGTAGTTCCCAGTTAGCCAGAACCTGAAGACCGCTTTTAATTGTGAACGTCTAACACGAATCCGAAACCTTTTAATAGTTGAAAAACGTATTAAATCTTCGGTGATTTATTAATATCCTACTCCAAACAGGGGAAATCCACAGGACACGGGACAGTCTAATATTTCAGCGGGTGGTAGATAGGCTGCATGCAGTCGTGTGGCCTAGGCATCACTCTCTCGTGGGACAAAGGTGGGTTGAGGTTAGGGCCAGGTCTAGATTTTTGGGGGTCGTTAAAAGCATCAGAAAGCCGGGAAATCCAGTCTTACCACCCTCTAAAATTTTGGAATGTCATATGACGTCATCTGAAGTATGAAATTATTGAAGAAACAAATCTTCTTCTTTTTGTGTCATACAGCTTGTGTCGTAAGCCGTCGCAGAGAGAAGTCATGTTTAGTTTTCTGTGTTTTGCTAGTTGCCTTGCTTGAGTTTGTCATATTACTTCTCTGTAGCGTCTTTTTTACTCCATCCACCCATATCTTTCTTGGTCAGCCTCTTGCCTTGTAGCCTGCTGTTCTTATGTAGTACACTCTAGCCGCTGGCTGATTTTGTTCCAGTCTGATCAGATGTCCAAACCATCTGATTCTTTATTGTACTATAAAATCATTCACTAGTACTATGCCTGCTATTAGTTTTTCGTTAGTGACTCTGTCTCTTCTTGTTTTTACCCGCTGTTTTTTTTTATACACAGTTTATAAATATTCAGCAGCATCATGTAGCAGGTCCTTTGCAGAACGTCGCTCTCATCGCGGTCTGCCTGAAAAAACTTGGTCTCTCGTCAGTTCTCCCGCCTCATGCACTTTCATGCACTCCAGGAGTCACTTATATCCTTTGCCCATCTTCGTGTTGGTTGGCCCCTGATCCTCCTTCCTGGTACCATGCCTTCTGCTATAATTTTGTCCAATCCGTTGTAACGCTTGATATGACCAACATATTTCAGCTTCCGAGACAAAATGTTGTTTATTTGCCAATCTTCCTTGATGTTCAGATCTTTCAAGTATTTCTCCTCTTCTTTGTCCAAGATATTTTGAGAATCTTTCTTTAGCATTTCGGTTCAAAAGCCTGTATATACAAATATTAGAATCATAAAAAAGAACTGCACTGTAAAGTTGATGTCTTTTTTTAATATGACACAGGGGACTCTTTAAACCTGATATGTTGACACACTACACAATGGGAAAGATTTGGTTTTATTAAGGCATGGTTTTTAATCCACAATCAATCAATTATGTGCCGTCTCCACAGTAAAGGTTGACTGCAATGGATCTCCAACACGGTCTGTCTCTTGAACGGGTGGTGCACTCTCTAAAGAACCTTTTTACTATATAGACAAAAACAAATACAGATGTAGTTTGGAGTTTATTTATCAACAACAATAATACACAATTACAATCTTTAACTGTACCGACATATGCTGTTTAGTGGTTACAAAATCGATATACGCGACAGGAGCCTTGTTTCTGAGAGACAAACTGCTGCAGTAACATAACTTCAATTTTTAGTTTGGATTCGACTGTACCCGCACATGACAGAGCGGACGTTTTTTTGTGAACTAAGGGGAAATTTCCATAGACCAGCACTAATCAATAATTCCATGTTGAAGAAAGTGGACTTTGAGTCTCCAAACACTCAAGCCTGTATCTATAATGACAGAGTACATGGGTATCTTCTTACTTCCAGGCACGTCACGATGATAGACAACATGCTGGCCATGCTGGAGAAGTACGCCAACCACCTGGAGGAGCTAGTGGCTGAAAGAACCAGTGAGTTGGACGCCGAGAAGAGGAAGACTGAGAACTTGCTGTATCGCATGTTGCCACAGTAAGTGCTCTTCCAACACGTATTACATTAAGCATGTATTTTTAAAATAAATGTTGCAATTGACTGTTTTGACTGCAATTGACTTTATTAACTTTTGTCCATCGAATTTTCTAGCCAGTTTATGATATATTTAGTACTCTGATAATAAAGACTTTGATCGAAAAGTTCAGCTACACTTGTAGGTGTCTTTTATATTCCCTCCTTTGAGATTGTCACAGGTTTTATTGTATTTAGTATTCATTTCAGGTCAGTTGTTGTATTTATGAATATTTTCTTCCAACAGTCAATGCTTTATTGTGGCGATACACATGTTTGTCCACAACATATGTCAAGTGTACTATAAATTATTTTTGAAATAAGTTATTCTCCATGATGTGATACTCAACCGCCTAACATCGCGTCTCTTAGCCTACCCAGGCTTTATTCCCTTTAACTGTCTCGATGTTGAGACACATTCCAGTTGTTCCTCATACTTTGCCAAGAGCGTCTCTGATAATTTCAAAACAGAAGCCGCGGTAGGGTAGTGCCTTTCAAAACCTCTAATGTTCAAATCGAATATGTGAGGCCATATTGCTTGTTTCAAAATTTGTCTAAACTTCTAGGTCGACCTAGCCTACTCGTTTGAATCGATCTGGGAGCCAAGGTCGTTTAAAAAAAAAAAGAAAGGTCAGGCTCCGTAAGAATCCGATCCGCAGGCTAGTATCTAGCCACTAAACAACGGCGGTTCCCTGTCTGAATATTAGGTTAGCATAATATGCCCAATGTGCCCCTTGTGTTAAAAGAGCCGTTTACTGATTTAACTTTCTTATTTCAGGTCAGTGGCCGAAGACCTCAAGCTAGGGAAACCAGTCAAGGCTGAACTGTTTGATCACGTGACTATCTACTTCTCGGACATCGTCGGTTTCACAAAGATTTGCTGTGAGAGTACACCTATTGAGGTTGTTAACCTGTTGAACAGCCTCTACACCCTTTTTGATGCCATCATCACAAGATATGACGTATACAAGGTAGACCGCTTTTTTTATCGTTAATGGTTTCTTTTCCAGCAGTCCAAGCTCTAGGGTTTCATTGCTGTTGGTATCACCCGCCTTCATTCATATCATTGACTGGCCTTCTCCTTCCAGTTAGTGACTTCAAGTGTGTATATATATACACATCTAGACTGTCTTCGTTGTCTGCCGCGTAGTCTAGGACTATTCAACTGTTTTGTGTACTTATTACACAAATGTTAGTTTGACTGCATTGGCTTAAGTGTAGTCGTATTTATATTTTCTTACTAAATATGTCACTGCACAAATGGCATTTAGCCAATCCACATATCAGTGAAGAATATGCGTGCAGTTCTTTTGTTATTGTTGCATTTAATTTATCTGAAAAGTTGGGTTAATCTAATTAAAAAAAAACAGATCGCAGACTTATTCCCTGCATGTATCGTTTGTCATATTCTCCTTTTTCCTGTCATTCTTCTTCTTCTGCTTGTTGTTGTTGTTGTTGTTGTTGTTGTTGTTGTTGTTGTTGTTGTTGTTCTTCTTCTTCTTCTTCTTCTTCTTCTTCTTCTTCTTCTTCTTCTTCTTCTTCTTCTTCTTCTTCTTCTTCTTCTTCTTCTTCTTCTTCTATTCTCCTCCTCCTCCGTCCTTTGCTTCTACTACTACTACTACTACTACTACTACTACTACTACTACTACTACTACTACTACTACTACTACTACTACTACTACTACTACTACTACCATCACCACTCCTACTACCACTACTACTGCTGCTGCTGCTGCTGATACTACTACTACTATCTCGTCTTTTGCTTTGAAACGGCAGTTGGCACTTGCAATGTCTGTGCCTTTCGGTCCAACATATCCGCTTGAAGCAAACCTTTAGTCAGCTGTCATGACATGCTTTTTATAGAGCAATATTTCAGTTGGCTTCTCAGGCAGATACACTCTGACTTAGAGACAGACAGAAAAACGTCGACTCTATTCAATTTGGTCGTGCCCTGATAGAGAACCCATTTCTAGGATGATCATGTAGAGGTTTACATAGATCTTGAACAGTGTTTCCTCTGACCCTGCTGCACTTTCTCAGGTGGTGATGTCCATCAACACCATAGGTAGGATCAGGCTTCCCCAGCTTTGTAAAGAACTTAACTTATCCAAAGTAAGCATGGCCAGGTAAGACATGTTTGGCCACTGCGGCAAAAACTCTTCTGCAGCAACTCGGTCAAAAATAAAATAAAAATATTACAATTAGTTTTCGATTGTTCTTTTTATGAACAGCTGGGTCAACTTAAATTTCACGGTCGTTATAAAACATATAAAGTATGGAGGTCGATTAGAATAAAGATTGGAATCCAACAATAAAGATATCTTGAGCATTATTATGAACCAGGGAGAACGACTGATGTGTCATGGAGAAACCTTTATTGAGCTGTATGAAGGACATTTTTTGTCTGGCAGCATGCAACGTCCTGTAGAGGATAGGCAACTTACTTTAACTGTCACATTTCAAGTCGCTATATAATGAATAACCGACACTATTTGTTCTAGAAAAATGACCCTAGAACGAAATTCTGCCGAAGACATTAAAAATGATGATTGTATCTGGAATCGACAAAGCCGAGGTGAAAATCAATGATTGCCTTATGCTTTAGACTAGGAATGGGAAGGCAACTTAACTGCCTTTTAAGCAGTTGCCTCAGCTACCTATTTCGTTGATGAAGGCTCCAGTCGAAACGTTGGTTGAATTTATGATCTTCTTTGCCATTCCCTCGTTGAGCTGCTAGTCATAGTTCGTTTTTTTATGTTCTTTGTTACTTATCTGTCAAGTACACTAAATAAATCAAATAGGTCAAATATTTTAGGCCCAGTAATTGGGAAAAATTGTAACAAACAGCAGCATGCGTCACTGTTACGAAACAACATCCACACTGTGTAAACACATGGGATAAATGGCAACTCAAATGTAATCACTTACTGCCTTAAGTGGAAGGCATTTTAACTGATGCTTAAGTGCTACTTTGTTCTTTTTTTTTTTTTTACGAAGTTATTTCACGTACTTAAACTGTTCACTTTCATCCATCAGTTATATTTATTACCAATGTCGCCGATACAAAGAAACCATTGGTTGAGGGAAGGGGGGAGGAAGGGAAGCCTTAAGGGTTGGGGTGGGGGGGGGGGGAACAGATCAGCCCCTTAACACATTTTCCATACGCCCAAGTGCTTAATTAAGTCCTTCCCAAGCCTGTTATTATTATTTTTATTTTTACTGTTTATTATTATTATTATTATTATAATTATTATTATTATTATTATTATAAGGCGATAAGTGACAATAACATATAATACGTTTTTGAATACTTTTAAATATTTAGGCAAAAATTTAAAAGAGATCTGTGCATGGTTTGGAGTGGGGCGAAAAGAGGGGAGGGAGTCGTGTAGTCTATTTTCACATTTTCGGGGGGGGGGGGGGGGCTACATATTTGGAAGGTCTAGTTCCCTGGTTCTAGAGTACCTGTGTTAAAGCGACTTTCTGTTAATTATTATCTGGCATACCAGAAATACAATTTATCGTGACAACACAGGGGAATGCTGACATCGACGAAATGCCTATTGGTTTCACATCCTACGTCCTATGCGCCATTGACTTCAAAGAGCCCTTTAATTGTACTTACAGCAAACCCTGTGAGCGGATGTAACAGTGATGGCACGATCTTTCTCCACAGACCAGCTGGTTGCCAGCTGAGACAAAGTCGCATCCGTAGTTCCAGCAACGACTTGCCGGGAATTTTCTTTTTTACTTTGTGTCTCATGTTTTACAGATTCGTGTATTGGAGTCGAGAATGTGTTCCTTGCGTATCTCATAGTGTACTATGGTGTTGTGTTTTTGTTGGCATCTCTCTGTCTTTCTGGACACGCGACTGTAACTGATTCTTATCCCCCTCCCCCTTTTCCCCTTTTTTTATGCAATGCAATCCATGGTCAGCATACACCCAGGAATCCACCTCAAAACCACAATCATTCATGCTCCGTTTGCACACATTTTTAAATATCAGTAACGTTGGACATCTTCTATCCATGGGTGATTCACGAAAGAGTGTGTGCTTGAGATGCCACGATCCGCCATCTTTCGATTGTGTCCTAGCTAACTGAACCCTCGAAGACTAGCAATAAGAGAACCGTTGTGAAAGCTGCTTTCCCCAATATCTCAGTGTTTGTATTCGTGTCTTGTCACCCAAGCCAAGTATTTTTCGTAAATATCGTAGGGGAAAGCTATATGACTCTTTCTCATGGTGCGATGGTGGTGTATTCAGGTCCTGATGGAGCCGGTATTTTTTTTAAATAACCTTGGCTTCCAGGTCAACCCAGTCTTAAATGGGTACTAGGTCAAGGCTGAAGGAAGTAAAGGCGGTCAGCGTGATGCTGACCATATCACCTTTAAAATGTGGACTGGTCCATAAATAAAGATTTAGCTCTATATGCCTAATAGGTCCAACGTCGTGGAAAAGGGTCCTTTACTTCATATAGTGCACGCAAGTGGAGCAGCAAGTTTCGATGCTACACATATACAAGTGAAACATTTCAAAAGTCAGTGACTTTTAGAGTCGAAAAATCGTTTCTATATGCCCCATATATACCTTTATAATTTCCCACAGGTGGAGACTATTGGAGATGCTTATATGTTAGCCAGTGGACTACCCAAAAGAAACGGCATTCAACATACTAAAGAGATAGCCAACGTGGCCCTGGAAATATTGGCTTCGATTGGAACATTTACAATTCCACACCAGCCCAATAACAGACTGCGAATTAGGTACACTTGGAATTGTCTGTGTTTATATGAATGTGTGTAAGGGTATGTTGTGATTCCACAGACAGTTCTTCTTCTTGTTTTTTTTTTTTCTTTTTCTCTTTATACACCTCTTTCTCCTCCTCGTTCTTCTATTCTTTTCCTTCTCCTAAAATTCTTTTTCTGTTTCTTCGTCTTCTTCTTCTTCTTCTTCTTCTTCTTCTTCTTCTTCTTCTTCTTCTTCTTCTTCTTTTTCTTCTTCTTCTTCTTCTTCTTCTTCTTCTTCTTCTTCTTTTTCTTCTTCTTCTTCTTCTTCTTCTTCTTCTTCTTCTTCTTCTTCTTCTTCTTCTTCTTCTTCTTCTTCTTTTTCTTAACTTTATTTATATTCTCCTCCTTCTCTTCTTCGCTCTCATATTTATCCTTTTCTTCTTGGTTAGACCTCTCCATATATTTCTCAAATTTTCTTAATTTTTTACTTTTTTCTTAGTTCAGGAGTAGGGCAACTCAAGCTCTGGGACTACATAAAATCTTATATTCCTAGGCACACTTTGCTGGACACCCTCACTACTATAAAAAGATTGCCCCCAGGCTATGATAGCATACTATCATAGCCATGTTAACACAGATTACACTTGCTAATCACACAAACATCAAAGCTAGGCAGTTAGAATAGTGAAACAGGGACACCCAAGTCAGCTATGAAAATTTCTGAATGGATGTAATAATTGCATCGCATACATTATATAAGAATCAGCAAAGAACTTCAAGAACTCAGGGTGATATGAAGGACCAAAACTTCAAACTTGATCCGACTGAACGTGTAATAATGTCCCAGAGTCCGCCTAGATCATCATTATGATAATGTGGACGATTAATAGTGAAGCGTGGCAATAAACCAATGATTGACCACACTTATCTGAATCCCTGGCTTCTTGAACTTGCTGGATGTTCAGTCACTCTGGTGTTACATTAAAGACAGTTCCATACTAGACACTCGAACACTGAAGATACACCAAAGCTCCTGGAGAGGATCTCAGGTACCAAGTCAAACACTTGAGGCACAAACAAGCTGCCGGATAAATAATGGTGAAGGTACAACACCCATAATGTTGTCTGTAGACCAACTGGAGGATTTCATTAACTGAAGACAAAAGTTTGGTTTACAGTCTGATGCCTACCGCTGGCTTAGACATAGGTGACTTCCTTGTAGGTGGTTTTGTGGACTGCTGATTCACTGCCTGGCCTCCAAGGAGATATTATCCTGTATCAAGAAGGAACTCAGAATTAGCAGTTATCTCAGGGGTTACATGTCAAGCTCAGTTTAATAACATCCACATTAGTAATCATTCAGAGGACAGCTCTTAGGATAATGAGACAGCATAAGTCTCTACATATCATCTCTATTGTTCAGTCAGTAACAAGGACAGGAGATGCGTACCAGAGTGGAGACAGATAGACTAGCACACATAGAACATCAACTCTCCTCGCCCACATGCACTTATAGATATGCATCCCATCTCTCTCACATATATATTTTATACCATCCACCGTCTGCTCATCCCACACACTGTGTTGTGCTAAAACCACCCTCTGACGTCACAGCGTCTAGCCGGCTGAAGGGTGACCCAGTTTAATACGTCTGCTAATCGAAACAAACTCGGTTGTCTGTGTTGTGTGCAATCCGAAGATCCACACTACGGACAACCGATAATGAACATGAGGTATGACGAGGACACGACGTCACTTGCCGACAGAAATTTTTAGACAGATGACAGTTGCAAGAAATGTGGTAATGGCAGAGGTTGGAAACTAGGCTTAGCTGTATTCTACTTGACGCCGCAGTTGGCAGGGAGCTTAGGCGCTGTACTCTGGCTTAGAGGTGAAAGGAGTTCTTCTACTTGATGCCGCAGTTTGCGGGAAGCTTAGGCTCATTGCTCTGCCCTGGAGGTAAAAGGAGTTATTCTACCTGATACCGCAGTTTGCGGGGAGCTCAGGCTCATTGCTCCGTATTGGAGGAAAGTAATTAATTATCTAACTGTCGTTGAATACGGTGACTGTAATGTATGCATTTTATTGACACCATTTATATCTGTGAGGAATTGTTCAATAAACTTCTTGGATTTGCCTGTCAACGACGTGTTTGTAGCAGTTTCAACGGTTGACTTTGTTACGGCGTTTTTCTGCAAATTCTGCCCGCCGTTGGTCTTGGTCATTGGTTACCCCTAGAAATTAGTTTACTTGGAATGTGTACGGCATGGATCCGGGACTACACCTCACGGCCTAATTTATGAACATAATATCACCGTACAGTAATGGAGACAAATAAGAGCCGTACAGTCTGGTTAGAGAATAATTAACTGGCTGGGTTTAATATCTCTATAATGGTGTGGGTCATGTAGGGCACAAATTATTAGCCTGCAAAGGAAAAGGTTTGATTTTAGGGGCTTGAGTGTCTGGACACCAAGAACGGCCTAGTTCTGTTCTGTCACACAGCTAAATCTTCCCTCCCTGCAACAGTGGCCAACTTTTAAGAGACATATATAATGGTACTCGTAAACTATAATCAACTTACCCAAGCTTAGGAATCCTTCAAAGATTAAACTGGTATTTTGAATGCGCCAAAGTTTAATCAGAGAATTGAAATGCGTCTCGACACCTCAGAGGTCTGGCAAAGAATGCCCGCGCCAGATTCCGCTTGGCGTCTCTAGAAAAGAAGTCCTGTATTAGTGCCCCAGGAGTGAAAAGGCTTACAGGAATTTCGGAATATTATTCCAGGAATTATCTATCCCACAATTGCAAGTTTGAAAATGTAGACTTCTCAAAACAACTAGAGGGTCTAGAAATGTTTATTCCACCAAACAGAGGTATATATCAATATGAGGGACTATATACCCACCGGACGTGTTTAAATTTGAAATGTGACCTGCCCGCTCGGGGTGTCAACGTCACGAATAGTCCAAAGTGTAGGGTTGGTTGTTCACTCCGTGACACATGTCTTTTTTAATATGTCCCCCCTACTGATCTCTATGAGGCATATAATTCTGCACATGTCTCTTTCATATTCGTTCATATATGTTATACATATTTCTTCAAATACTTGTCTCCCTATGTGTTTCTCATTTATCTCCAGATGGTTCCTTGTATTTCTCTCTAAATGTTCTTAAAATTTCTCTCCATATTCCTTACCTTTCACCTTCAACGTTCGGCAGTTAAACATCTAATATTCTAATATGTTATCTTGTTCAAAAAGTGAAACTCATGGTTATGGGATGTGGCTTCCCTGTTCTCTCTCTCTCTCTCTCTCTCTCTCTCTCTCTCTCTCTCTCTCTCTTCACACACACACACACACACACACACACACACACACAGTTATCATATGGCACGTTTTTCTTAGTCGAGGAAAAGCCCGTACCTCTAAAATCTATATATGACGCACTGGCAATTGATTGGTTAAACACATCGTACTCTTTTGTTTAATTTGAACATTTTCGGTTATTGAATTACAATTCTGGATATAAAAATTATATTAAAACTATGTTTCTTTCTGTAGCCAAGCTTTTTTTTTTAATAACTTAATCACAGGGAACGCAGCATACATGCATAAGTTTCCTACCCTAAAGCCCAATCAACGCAAGAGGTGCTTATTTAATGTCTGTTTTTTTTAATCCCTTGGGCCTCTGATGCTGACCTCCCCCCCTCTTCCCCCTCCCCCTCCAAAAATTTAACATGTTTTAGTATATTTCACAACAAACGTATTTAAAAAATCAAACAACTGTAATATAATACATACGCATACCTCTGTAACAGAATCGGTATTCATACGGGACCTGTGGTGGCAGGCGTTGTGGGTCTGGCCATGCCTCGGTACTGTCTCTTTGGGGATGCTGTCAACACAGCCTCAAGGATGGAATCCACTGGGCTGCGTAAGTTACCTTTTAAACGTTCTTTCATTGCTTCTATTACCTTGCTTTTGTTTGAAATTATTTATAGCAGGGCCGCTGGGACGTAGAGGCTTCGGCAACTTCACCATCCTCCCTAAAATATGTAAGGGGGAGTGAGACCCCCTTACATCTCCCCCCCCCCCCCCCCCATTCCACAGCTGCGCCTATTAAAATTATCTTTTAAGAATTCTTTAATAAAGTTTAAAAAGAGGAAATGGTGGAAAAGGGGTGGAGGGGTGGGGGTCGCTATTTTTTAGCCAAAATTGATAGTAACTTTAATTGTTTTTTTTTTTTTTTTTTGTTTTTTTTTCATAGCAAAGATCAAGTTAAATTACTGTATATTTATTTTAAAAGATCTTAACAAACAATGAATTAGCTTGTATGTTGAAAACTGTTTTGTGTTTTGAATGACAGCTCTAAACATTGTTGTATTGGTTTTCAAGTTATTGCACATATGATTGTTTTCTTAGTGTTGACGGTCTACATTGTGGAGATTAAAGCAAGAATCGCCATTACAAAAGTTCCCTTCTGCAAAATGGCAATCACTCATCTGCAAATAAGTAAAGCCATCCTTTCCCGCCTTCTGTCGTATTGGTCGTATAGGGCTTGACCTATATATTTATAGACCAATCAGCACTCGGTGGGTAATGTGGGCAACATCACTTACTTACCAGGGCTTTATCCGGTACTTATTTAAGGCTGGGTAGACCTGGGAGCCAAGGTCTTTTTTTTAAATAGTCTGGCTCTGTCAGGACTTGAACCCACCATTTTTAGATTCGCAGGCGAGCGATTAACTGCTACACCACGGCGGCTCCCAGTAAATTGGGTGTTGTCTCCAAACTGAAGATGGGCTTCATTGTTGTCTGTAGAAATGTTACATGGCCAGGTCCTAGTCCGGCTGAGCTCCTCCGCCAAAGAAAACCTGGATAACTTTAAAGGATACCACGTCGAGTACAGAGGCGAAATTGAAGTCAAAGGAAAGGGGAGAATGCAGACGTATTTTCTTTTGGGCAGAGAAGGTTTCTACATGACTCTGCCTGATCCCGCCCGTTTTGATGAAACGTTGCCGAGAACAACCAAAGCTCTCAACCAGCCAAACTATCAGGGGCTACAGTATGAAACAGAAGAGGAAGTTGAAGAGCAGCCATGTTTACATGGAAGAATAAGTACTGGCGATGAAGATCAGGAAATGTCCAAATTTGTGGACAAGAGTGAACTGGCTCATACTAGACCCTACAGAACTGGGGCCATGAATGAGTCTGACATTGTCAAGGCGGGAATCAAACAGATAATGAGAAAGTTTAATGACCCGGTATCCGAAGATATTTCCATTTTGATCAGTGATGTTGATGAAGACATTTCCAGCCCTGTTGCTCTGCTAAAGGCTGCCGATTCAGGTATTGATATTACGCAAATTGAGGACAAGATAGACATAACTGACAAAGATAAAAATAATTCAACAGAAACACACACACAACAAGAAGCTTCTGTAGTGCCTTTACATCAACAAACGCCTTGTCATGACAACGCAGACAGAGATAACAATCGTAAACATAATGTCTCAGGGAGTACAGTGACAACTGATGAGGTTCTTGATTTGATCCGGTTGGCGAAAGAATCCAACTATGTCAGTGTCTCTAAGCTGCTATCTCTTCGTGGTAGATATCCTCATCCGGACAAAACCCAAACCATTAAACTATCTCAGTCAGAGCCAACAAGATTAAGAGACAAAAATAACACAGTGAAAGAGTATCATACCGAAACTAGTAAGGAAGTCATAGAATCTGGACCGAACCGCAATCCTCTCGAGTACTTGTTTCGCAATCATAAAAAAATTGACGCAAATAACGTTGGCACGAAAGGTAAACAGGACGCCCTTCTGTCTCGTCCGCTTGAAATAACACCCAACATCTTCCCAATCAATGTAAAGCACCTAGGTGACAAACTGAAACACTTACACTCGGAAGGCAACTCTGGATCAGGGCCACACTTCGGACAACCCAAAATGGAAAATACTGAACATCGAAACTCGCCGTTAAGTTCCAGGTCGCCTTCTCCCTCTCCTAAATTCGATATGGGCTTGATCAAAGAGCAAGTGAACAGTCGGATCTTGAAGGCAATGGACATTACTCCGTTGTGATTCTGTTCACTGCATCATTTTTTTTTTTATAATTATGTACTGATTCTTGTATTATTCATGTAATATACTAACACGTTCCACTCTTTCACCCCGCTTCTTCTATCTTTTTCACAAAGTGTATGTATACATATGTTCACTTTGTACTCTGCGCGCGCGCACACACACACATACACACACATGAATACGTTTCATTTAATACTGAAACTATCACAAATATGATCAAACAAATTGTTGTTCTGTATATTTAGCGCCATGTTAATTTTCTGTCTACACAATGAAATAAAATCAAAGAGGTTTGTAACAAAATATGTGTAATAACTTGAACTTTCGTTTCGACACATGAAGCAGTCCTGACAAATGACTGTGCTGTGGTATAGACAAGGCAGGTGGTAACGTAACCACATTAATCTATGTGCTGACTGGTCAACAGAAACATGGAGCTACCAACTTAAAAGCCAGTATACCTTAAGAATTGGAAACGGCTTCATTATTTTATAAGTTATTAAACCAAACGAAAAGTACAATTTGTCAGCTTCATGTTATCAAGAGCCTTCATGAGAACATTACATTAACAGGCAATGTTACAGTTAGGAACAAGAAAACACAAAATCAGGTTCCTATTTAATTAGGTTCGCTACTTTATTATTATTATTATTTTTTTTTTTTTTGTGTCTTCCCTTTATTCAAACTTTGTATGTTTGTATGTTTATATAGCATTTGTATGTTGCTCATATTTGTCAGTCTATTAACATGTGTTGCTGTATGTTTGTATCTGTTGTTTTATGTAGAGGTGCATTATTTTAAGAAACAAACAAAAGAACAAGAGAAAGAGTGGGGTATAGGAAGGCCAGAGACAGATGGGGCAGGGACACTACTCAGTAGCCCCTCTAAAGTCGTCTCGTGCTCTCCTTTTGTTGCTCTATCCAGTGATTTATGTATTCTGTTGCCTTTATCTTGATGATGTCCTTTTGAAAATGATACAGTATCTCAAAGTCAGTAAGTCCCTCAAGGTCTTTATTTTCACGGCGTTGACTCGCAAATTCCTCTGCTCTTCTGTCGAAGAATTTCATTTCTCGTAGGTAGTAGAATTCTACCTCTGCACGCATTCTGCCGAGGTATCTCTTTGGTTGTTGATCTGTCTTTCTCATCTCGTTTATTTGGGTTATCTATCATTTTGTCGTAGTAATACTCTGGTATTGTATTGTGTGTCTCTTCTTCTTCTGAGTCTGTAGAATCCTTTTTGGATGTTGTTGCTTGAGTTGTCTTGGCTTTGACCGTATCACTGTCTTCAGTGCTACCGTGTTCTCTATGCGTGAAGTGGCCTCCGATGTTTTAGGTTTCGCCTTGTTATTACTTGGAGCGCTCACTTTTGCGTTCGCCGTGGTGCTGTCTTTTGAATGTTGTTTCTGAAGTGCCACCGCGGTCACTGTGGGTGGAAGGGCCTTCGATGTGCTAGGTCCCGCTTCTTTTTCCTTTTGAGCTTTTGTAACTTGCCTTGTCCCTGTTGATGTTGTTGCTTGAGTTGTCTTGGATTTGACCGTCTCGCTGTCTTTAGGGGTTGTCTTCTGGAGTGTTACGGTGTTCTCTATGCGTGGAGTGGCCTCCGATGTTTTAGGTTTCGCCTCGTTATTCCTTGGAGTGGTCATCGTTGCATTCACTGTGGTGTTGTCTTTTGAATGTTGTTTTTGATGTGCCACCGCGCTACTTTAGGAGACATGGTTGTGTTGTAGTTACTGCGCTCGTCTGTCGAAACAGTGGTCCGGATACAGACTTCAGAAATCGCCAGATTTGTTCTGAACAGTTAAGGGCGCCGCTTAAAATAAATCTATTTTGGGTATAAAGGCTGGGGGGGGGGGGAGGAGAGGGTAATAATAAATTTGCTAGTAGGCTGGTTATTATTATTATGTGTTGAATGGCATATAAATATAACAGTATTTGAAATGAAATGTAAGGTTTAAACAAATACTTGCAAAGAGTACGTCTATACATGATTAGAGATCTAAAGCCCCTTGCACATTTTATGGGAGCGGGGAAAAGGGCGCTTAATTCCCCTTTTTTTTGGGGGGGGGGGGGGGGGGGGAGGGGTTGTGGGGGGAGGAAAGAACAATCAAAGCGACTGAACCTCCACGATTCATACGTACCTGACACATGGTGAAGCGCTGGGGTCGATCCAGCCTTATAAATATTAGTACCAGATACTTTCATAATTTGTTAGATATTATCGAGGAGCTGAACTGTCCCCACCACCTCAAATATCATAACCTAGCATATATGAACGCCCAACATTGCCACAACTTATCTGCAGCGGGACTGCCCTGAACTAAGCCAAACCTCTTGCAGCGGTTCTCAATCAGTAGGTCGCGACCCCCCTTTTTTGGGTAGAACGACTCTTTCATGGGTCGCCTAAGAACATCAGAAAACACATATTCATTGAAGCTATAAAGGACAATTTCGGCTCTGTGGCTAAGTCGATGCGAACGCTTCGTAAGGCCGGGGTACCGGGTTCGATCCCAGCTGCGGGCCATGCGCCTTGCATTGGTTTCGACAGTGGTGTCAATGGGTCGACCGTCCAGTAAGCAAGGGCAAACTACTGGACGTATTTTGCCTAGAGAAACCACACAACAGCCAGGGGCTGTTGGGGTTGATTCTGCAACGTCCTGTAAAGGATACGCAACTAACCTATAAAGGACAATAATTGTTTGGGAGTCGCCACAACCTGAGCGAACTGTATTAAAAAGTCGCGACATTAGGAAGGTTGAGAGCCACTATTCTAGTGCATAATCTTGTTAGCCAGCCTGGCACAATGTTTGTTTATTTTAACCTACCTGGTGTGTCTGTGGCA